CTTAAGAGACACTTAACAGCTTTTTGGACCTAAAAACCCATAATTTTTTATTCTTTAGAGAGATTTTGATGTGCATTCTCTCTGTTCCTGCCACCTCCTATGAAATGTAATATTTCTAGTTTGCACAAAACCTTTTTCAAAGAAATTAAGTATTTTCACAAAATGAATAGTTGTTAAGACTCTAAAATGATGGCAGGGAGAGGTAACTTCTGAAAAACAGCACAGAAAAAGGAGAGAAATATTTGGTCAGAAAACCAGGTACATAGAAAACTCTTAGGATTATTTGCTCTTAACACTGTAAACTGGCATGTATGGTGTACCCCTGCATTCAGCAAGTACGGAATGTGCAAGACACTATCAGTGTCTTGCATGGTAATGGTATTATTGCTACTTTGTTTGAACTTTTTTCATTTATTTTTCAAAATTAATTGTGAAGGGTGTCTAAAATGTGCCTAGAAAATGTGTCCACAGCAGTGCCTAACTTACTTTCTATCTGTAAGAAAAGCAGGACTTTCAGTTCAATATTTGACACTTCAAGTATTTTAGATATTTGTTTATATAAGCCCCCTTTTTTTGATTGGAAGCAAAAAGCAATTTGGCAGTGTTGGATATATGGTGTACAGAGACCTTATGTCCAAAATGCTGCAGTTTGCTGTTTTGTGTTTATTCAATAACTTAAATACTTTTCCTGATACTGCTTCCAACACATTCAAGCAGATTTTACCATGAAGTGCGCTAACAGATATTCTATATATGTAAGGTGACATGTCATCAGAGCAAATTAGCTTCCCTCTTGTTTCAAGGCTTGCCCGTGTGACACTGTAGACAGGTTAAGAGACAGGAATTTTCAGCAGCAACAGCTTTTTCATTAGCATTTTCCTAACAGAAAGATAGTCTGTCTTGGTTTCTTTTAAGCTAGGTAACATTGCTGCATCATATTCATCTTTTGCATGAGATCAACCTGAGTCACAGATAAGAAATCAGAAGAGTACATACTGCAACACTCGAACCTACAAAGTTTTTGAAAGGAGAATATTTGTCCTACCTACTGTAAGATTTCAACTATGTAGTGCCTCAAACCTAAAATTATCATTAATGTGAATAAACAATAAATACTTTGAGGGATAATGGTGAATTGTGTGAAATATTTTGTGCTTTTTGTAGAGGAGCTTTCAAATTGTTTTGAAAAAAACTTCAAAGAGGTATTGATGTAAAAGATATGATTAACACTTTAAATTCCAATGCAATACAAGTACTGATTAGGGACTAAAATAGGCTATTGTGAAAAGTACAATGTGTAGGACTGGATGATCCTGGTAGAATCAAAATAGACTCACTACTGAAGATAAAAGAGTGTTTGTTCTCTGAGTTTGACTTTTAGAATTATTGTTCCCAGCACTCCTCAAATTCCTTTATGTATTTCTCTCAGTTAATATGCCTGAGGTTCACTTCTCAACTACAATGCCTTAAAATCCAAGGAAAGACTGTGGCATGAGACAGCAGCTTGAATGAGGTGCTGGTATTGTTTACAAGTGTTTCGCTATTGAAGAGTGTTTCTGAAATTAGCCTGAGTGCTACCTGTGAAGATAAGCCAACAATGACATTTTTGCATAAACCATTAGCTCTATTTGTGAATGTCTAAAATACTCCGTAATCTCAGGAGAGAACAGTGCCATTTGACATGATACAGTCATTAATATTGTCAAAGCACTGAAGATAGAGCTCCAGCATTATGCTAATAGAAACCTAATGAAGACTAAAAATGCTTGTCAGTGAACCAAAAAAAATCTGTCAGCAGCCTTCTGAATACATAGGTGCTGTATTCATTAAGAAAGAAAGAAAAGTTATTAGCTGTTTATAAAGACCATTTCAAATAATAAGAAATGCTGTGATATCTAAGTTATGAGATTGCAGGCAAACTGTTGACAACAGGCACTACAAGAGGAGGAGGAGATGGGAAGGAATAATGTAGCAGCATCTATTATATGTGTGGAAAAAGGATGCCAATGCATTTTCATGAGAGATGATATCAGAAGCTATTTTTACTTCCTGCTGCCAAAGGCCTACTTCTTTACACCTTGCAGATAGAGACCCCCCCCCCCCATATTTTTCCCATGTGTCATTAACATTGCCAAATTATTTCTGTGTATCAATAAAATGGATTGTAGAATCACCAGGAGAGTGTCTACCAGGCTACTCTGTGTAATTTGGTTACCAAAGTAACTCATTTCCTCCAAGGAAGGGGAAGTTACCCAGTGCTGGCCATTCTGTTCCACGGTCCCTTTGTTATCAGGCACTGTTTATGGATAAAGAATTAGTTTATTGTATTAAAGGGATAAATATTGCATTTCAAAATTCAAAATGAAATTATGAAAACAGAAAACACGTTGCCTGAGAACTCAGCTGCATCCTTACGTGGTTTTGCTGTCTCTCCAAGGACAACATTCAGCCATGAGAGATGCAGGTGATTGTAATCAACTTTTTTTCTCAACTTTTATAAAAAGTTTGCTCAGTTTGCTTGTGGCTTTTCTGAACTGTATTGATTCCTACCGCACGTCCCAAACTAGTCCATTCTCTATAGCTTACACAGCTCTGCTAGTAAATTGCAAAACTGTAAAAGATGAATCAGTGAATCTTTGTTAGCACTGGTTTATACCTGCTTACTCCTTACACATCATAAAATTATAGAATTATTTAGTTTGGAAAAGACCTTTAAGATCATTGAGTTCAACTGTAAACCTGACACTGCTAAATCCACCATGTCCCAAAGCACCACACGACGGTGATTCCATCACTTCCCTGGTCAGCCTGTTTCAATGCTTGACTATACTCCTAGTGTAGAATGTTTTCTAATATCCAACCTAAACCTTCCCTGGCACGAGTTGAGGCCATTTCCTTTTGTCCTGTTGCTTGTTACTTAGGAGTTGAGAGAAACCAACCCCACCTGCCTACAACGTCTTTTAGGTAGTTATAGAGAGTGAACTCTCCCCAAGCCCCCTTTTCTCCAGGCTTAACAACCCCCACTCCTTCAATTGCTTGTCATAAGGTGCTCTAGACCCATCACCAGTTTCATAGCTCTTCTTTGGATGCATATCGGGAACGTACTAGGCAGAAACGACAGCAAACAGCTTTGAGAGTGGTTCTGCCTTAACTGTGGGAAGCCTCCCTGGGCTTTCTGCAGGCAGCCCTGCCACCAGTGTCCATGTAAGAAGGGCTTGGTGCAGGGTGGCATTTATATAAAAGCTTTCCCTTTGTGGCTCATACCTTTCTGGCACATGCAGTACTTTCTGGGATGTGCAGTGAGGATCTGTACGAACATGTCAGCATTGGTGGACAAACCTTGTACTTCCAGCAGTGTGCCCCAATGTCCATCCTGGCCTACATCAGGAATAGCATGGTCAGCAGGAGCAGAGGGGTCATTCTTTCCCTGTGCTTGGCACTGGTGAGGAAGCACCCTGAGTGCTGTGTCCAGTTCTGGGTCCCTCAGTTTAGGAAGGATGCTGAGATAGGAGTCTGTCTGGAGAAGGGCAACAAGGCTGGTCTGGAACACAAGTCCTAGGAGAAGTGGCTGAGGGAGCTAGAGTTGTTTACCCTGGAAAAGAGGAGACCCAGGGGAGACCCTATCACTCCCTACAAAAACCTGAAAGGAGGCTCTAGCCAGGTGGAGGTCGGTCTCTTCTCTCAGGCAACCAGCAATAGGACATGAGGACACAGTCTTAAGCTGCCCCAAGGGAAGTTTAGGTTGGACATCTGGAAGAAGCTCTTCACAGAAAGAGTGACTGAACGTTGGAATGGACTGCCCATGGAGGTGGTGGAGCCACCATTCCTAGAAGTGTTTCTAAGGTAAGACTGGATATGGCACTTAGTGCCATAGTCCAGTTGACAAGATGGTGTTATTTCATACGTTGGACACGATGATCTCAAAGGTCTTTTCCAACCTAGCTGGCTCTATGATTCCAGCAGCAGAATGGAGCATATGGATGCCGCCGGTGCAGCAGTGAAGCATTGGCACGCCCGAGAAGCGGGGACAGCCGTGCTGGCCCAGCACCGGGGCACTCGAGCGCTTTGGGCGGGTGGGAGAGGAACCACCTCTGACTTACACCGGGTGACCCGGAACGCGGCGGGGCTCCCAACGGGACGGATGAGGGGTTCCAGCGTCGGCCTTCCGGCCTGACTGAAAGACAAACTCGGACGCAGTCCTCCGCGGCGGGGGAGAGCACGTAGGGCTGCCCGGGGAAAAGCGGGGCCGTGCATGGGGCGACGGATGCGGGGCAGGCCGGGGACAGTCTCTGCCCGCTGAGAGCCGCCGGGACGGCTCAGCCCGGCCCGGCCCCGCCTCGCCAGGACGGTTCGGAAGGCATGCTGGGACTTGTAGTCCCGCGCGACGCCGTCCCGCCTCCAGCGGCAAAACTACAACTGAGCGAAACTACAACTCCCAGCGGGCCGAGGGGCGTGTCTCAGGCGCCGTGTCCGAGCCCTCACGGGGCGGGGGCCGATCCCGCCAGGTCGGGCCGCGCGGGCGGGGCTTCTCCGTGCCCACCGTTCGCTGGCGGGACTCGCCCGCCCTCGGCCCGGCAGCGGGGCAGGACGCGGCTGCCGCCCCGGGTTGGCGGCACACACCGCTCGCGGCTCAGCGGAGCGTGGGTCGGGGGCGGCTCGGCTGAGCGGGAGGCGGCGGCAGTGGGAGCGGGGCTCCAGCGCGGACACTCTCTGCCCGGCTCGCTGCCCTGCGCTTCCAGCCCGGCCGGCGGGCGGCTGCCTGCGGGGAGGTGGCGATGGAGAAGAGTTAGTGCAGTCACCGCGCTCCAGTGGCCGGGGAGAGGGCCGGGCCGGGCCGGCTGGTGCGAGGGACCTGCTGCCCTGTCGCCGAGAAGCGGCTGAGTGACCGACCGGCCGGGAGCGGCGGAGGGTGCGCGCCTGTGTGGTCCCGTCCCCCGCCGGCTCCTCCCGCGGGCGGGCGGGCGGGCGGCCGGCGCTGCGGTGGTTACCGCCTCCCCCTGAAAATGAAGAGGTGGTGGCAGCTGCTGCTTCGGGGTCTGGCTGCCGGGGGGAAACCTGGATAGAGGCTCGTAAAGAAGGGTGAAGAGAAAGTCGCCGCTCTCTGGTTCGCGAAGGGGGAAGCCGGGCGTTTTTCTTACCTTGCTGCGGGGCTAGAGCACAGCGAAGCCAGGGACGCCGGCGGGAGCCGCTCCTGTGCGCCGGGAGAGGGGGCGGGATGCGGGGGGGGCCCCGGCACCGCCGCGGGCCGTGGGCGAGAGCCTGCGGCGGGGCGGGGTGCGAGCGGCGGCGCTGAGCCGGGCGGCGAGGATGGTGCGGGGAGGGAGAAGTCCTGGCAGAGATCTAGCGGCGGAGAAGCCTCCCTGTCCCCTGCCTCCCAACCTCCCTCCCGCGGGGCCGAGGCGCTGGGGAGCATGAGGCGGCGGCGGGGACCTGTTGTGTAGGGGGAGGCGCGGGCAGGGAGGATGAGGAGGACCCGCTCCCGAAGCGCTGGTGTCTGTCGGCGAGCGGCCGTGCCCCGGGCTGCCACGGGCTCGGGAGAATCCCTTCCTGTGGAGTGCTGACAGGGGAGCTCTGCGCCCCTGGGTCTGCGCGGAGCGGCGGCCGCTTCCCGCTGGACTGCGGCTTCAGGAAGAGGAGAGCTTCAAGTGTTCTTCGGAAGCTGGAGTTGCAGCCTGGTTCCTTACTTGCCTTCTCTCTCCCCTCCCCCTTAATGATTTGTTTCGCGTGTCTCTCGAGGGAACGAACGTCTTAGGAATGGTCATTTTTAGCAGTGGAATCTGCTGCGCAAAGGAGGATTATAACAAATCTCTATGAATGATAGACTCGATTGCTAAACCTTGCCTTGACCAACCTTCTGACCCTCGGAGAAAAGTCTCAGGGTCTGCGTGGGAAGGAAAAAACCTTCCCATTTGAAAATAAACTTGATTAAAAAAGACTGATTTTTTTATTTTTTTTGAGAGCCTAACTGATTTATAATTACTTTTTTTTTTTTTCTTTTTGTCCTGTTTTGTGATAAGTTGTTTTTAAAAGGATTGTCCTACGTGGCTGTTTTGTGACTGGTGGAGGAAGGAAGGATCCCTCTCAAGTGTTTCTGATATGACAGCTTTGGTTTCTGAAGAGTTAAGTGGTGTTTGCATGATACACTTATTGCTAGTCTGGTAGCAGACTTTTCATCGTTTTATTTGCTTTTTTTATTAACTGGGGCTGGTGGAGAGGGCTCTCTTGGTCAGAAAAATATTTGCACATATATCTTTGTATATATTTTTGGTGGGGTTCTCCCCACATTTTACTCTTTCTTGATGACTCCTGGAGGTGGTAGTGGGCCCATGAAAGACTGTGAATACAGTCAGATCAGCACACACAGCTCTTCGTCTCCCATGGAGTCTCCCCATAAGAAAAAGAAATCAGTTCCCAAGAGAAAATGGGAGGTTTTTCCTGGAAGAAACAAATTCTTCTGCAATGGGAGGATCATGATGGCTCGACAGACTGGAGTCTTCTACCTGACTCTTGTTCTCATCTTGGTCACCAGTGGACTCTTCTTTGCATTTGAGTAAGTGACTTTAAAGACTTCATATATTCCTTCTCCTCCTCTAGTTATTTATTTTCTGGCTGAAAGCAAAATTAACGTTTTTATTTAGGAGAGGATGTTGACTGAATTCCACCAATATTGATTTATATAATTGAAAATACCATCTGATAAGATGCTGAGGGGTGCACAATACAGTTTGGGTTATCATACTCTGTGGAAAACTAATGAGAATTGAAGTTGCTTTTGTGGAAAACTAATGAGAATTGAAGTTGCTTTTATACCATAGGTTTCCATCTCTTGCTGGTGTTGAAAGAGGAGTGTAAAACAGCAGGTTTGGGATGACCAGGAAACGATGAGGCTCCTCATCTGTCAGTTACTCTGAGAATCAAAACTGGCACATGCAAAAATACTGACTCTTTGTCACAGAACTGAATGCAAGAAAGGCAGTACTTTTCATTAGTTGATTAATCAGGAATGATTTTGTTTTCTCTTGACGTCATTTTAATAGCTTGTAGATGAGAATTCGAAGTGAGGAGAAAAAAAAGAGCTGTACAATTTTGCATGTACCTAGCTTTCCACCACTAGGTAACAGCATTACTTTCTCTTTGTGATAACTTGTATGGGAGTTTAGTCTTAGTTTAAGCTACATTTGCTTTGGAGGTTTTGACTGTATTTTTTTAAATAAGCTTCTGGTGTCCTTCTAGGGCCTTTTTCTCTGTAGCTCTGGAGTCCTTTTCATCTGTATAAAGTGAACACACAGTGACAGCAAATCAAATGTACTGATTTTTGCTCTTATATTGTAGTAGTTAAATTAACTACACATGGCAGTAAAGAGTTAGGCACTTGATGTGAGCAATATTATGCAACTTTTATTTACTTATTTAGGAACCAAGTACAAAGAAGTTCACACTGCTAAAACACGTCCTATAAGAATAATTGAGTTATCTTAAAGTGTTAGTGCTCCTTGCCTGCTTTAAATGATTGTGGTTTGACTTGTGGCAGTAAAATATCTTCAAATTACTTTTTTTCTGCAATAATAAGAACTGTTATATATAACTAAGCTTCATTGCTGCCTCCAGAAATTGTTTTGCTAAGCAATACAGTTGAAAACCAAAGGTCATTCATTACTTGGTGTCTTCAAGCAAGAAGATAAGGACATTAACAAACCCTAAATTGTACCTGTTAAATGCAGATCATCTTAACAATAGTGATAGCAGTAAAGAAGGTAAAAATGCTCAGCAGGTAACCAGTAGCTAAATGTATATGTGAGCTCAGTAGATGAATTGTCATTAGTGGGCTCCAGGTTACTTTAGAGGGGTTTATTAAATGTGAATCTTCTGCAGACATTATGAAGCGGCTTGAGTATCATTTGAGTAGTTGAAATAACACAGACAATGATGGTATCCACGCTGCAAGTGTGTTTACTTTGCTGGTTTTAAATAGGTATTAAAGGTGTAACTTTTAATAGTATGATGATAGTATTGCATTAGGACTGGGTGCTACTCTCTTCTGTTTGCCATGATTAAGCTTTTGGAAAGCTTTTCTATGTGGGCTGACACTGCTGTCTGTGTGCAGTCTCATCACCTTCAGCACAGCCTCTGAAGCCTGCTGGACTTCCTGCAGATACCAGAATGTAAATGTAGGATTGGAAGTATAATGTTCTATTATCAGGATTGTACAACTGATTTATTAAGCCACCATTTGCAATTTATTTATATGTTTTAACACTTTGATCTTTCAGAGATAAATTTTCTTTGCAGCTGCATGATTCAGAACTGCTAAAACAGGATGAGCTGTTAGCTGTTCATCACCTTCTGATTTCATCACTACTGTGAGCTACATGCTCTACCAGAGTTGAATTCTGCAACTTTCATCGCGTATTGGAGAATATTTGCAGTGTAACCATATGTGATTGATAAGATTTGTAGTCAAGGATTTTCATATATACTTGGTGCTTATTCTTACTGGCAGTCTTAAAGCAGGGAGGAATCTTGGGCTTTATATAATAGAACTGTATAAATTCTCTGTGTATGTACTGGTCTTGAGTAATTATTGTATCACATGCACTCCTAAGGAAAATCAAAATAGAAGGTGACAATGGTATTTCATTTTTATAATGATAAGGTAGATTTTGGTCTTTAGAAAGCCCTTGCCTGAAAAATTATTACTCATCCTCTGAAGGCTAATTAAAAGCCAAATCTAAAGACTGTGAGAATGGTGTTCAGTATGTCTGTGATAGTTAAACTGCAGAGAGTTGTTAATGTTAGAAAGAGGGGAGTCTCTTAATGAAGTGTTACTTTCAAGCAGTTTCTACTTGTGTCTGTTCCTAGTAGTGTAAAGTTACTATTTATTGATCAGTGATAACATCCTGAGTGTTAAGTGTCACTGCCATTATTGGCTGATTTGATTATGGCATTCCTCATTAACCAGCCATTTATTGAATATGACAGAAATGTCTTTCAATCCTTCATGTGCCTGTGGAGCAGAGTGGTTTTTAAATCAAACTGTGCCCTGTGTGTCTGAAACGTAAGGTCAAACTGCCATTGAAGAGGAAGGTATCCTGTATGTTCTTGGAATTGTTTGTTCTTTTTTTGCTACAGTGGAAATAAATTCTTTTGTTCCCTTTGGTTTTGGAAACTTGAAAATGGGTACTCATGGTTCAAGTCATTCCCTAGTTACAGACTGGGAAGTGGGGGAAGTAGGAAAGATTACTTTGACAGCTAATTCCTTGGAAAGCATCATGCTAACATAAACAGTTGCCCTTTATACTTTGGCTTCGTTTGTTCCTTCAGTGTGATTTCCCTCCCTTCTATTTTACTTTTGACATCCATACATCTAGAGCTGTATCTCATGTGCTTTGGAATACTCTTCAGGGAAGAAATACATTTCTCAGAGTCAGCAAATCCTGTGTCTCCAAAAGCAAATGTATGTCACACATCTTGACCTGTATAGCTTTTGACATCGAGTCATGCCTTTGTAATCTTTGTTTCTTTATATTTATGCTTTTGTGCTTTTTTCCTGCCTACTTTCTCCAGCTCCTGCTTTCAGCTGATTTTATTCCTTTCTCTCTGTTGACTTTTATCTCTCATATACTCAAAGTACATCACCACTTCTTCCTTTTATCATTTCACTGTTCTTTTTCATTTTCAAAGAGATAAGCCAGAATTTGCTTAAAAGAAAAACAACAAACCATGTGTTTTCAAGCAGGTAAAATATTTATAAGTCCTGTTTCCCTCCCTTTCCAAAGGAAGAGGTTGCAAATAACAAGGAGTTTTATTTCTGTAACTTGTTTATTAAATGTAAGATGAATTATTGCAAGCACTTATGGGTCCTAAGAGGGATGCTGTGCTGAGTTTTTCTTAAAAACAATGCCTATTTTAAATTGCTCAAGATGAGACACCACAAATTACTGAATTTGTCTTTGAAATTTGGCGATGTTACTTTACCTTGAAACTTTTTTTCTAACCCTAACCTTGGGTTATTTAGCTGTTTCTTCTTTTTTCTTGTAATTCTGGCCTTGTGTTGCATTTTGGTTTTGTCCTTTGCCTTGCACCAGTACACAGAGATTTTTCCAAACTATTTAGCACTCATTTATCTAGGTAGTTTCATTTAAAGCTTAGAAAACAAATTCCTCTCCACAGAGCAAAGATAGCATCTGTAACTGAAGGACAGATCTGTTGCTGTGTGTAGCCAGTTCAACCGTTGCATTTACATGTATGTGAAGTCCTTTATTTGTGCAATAGAGGCAGAACTAACATACTTCATACTTACTGCACTTAGCTAGGTGTACATATTCAAAAGAAATAAGAGCTTTTTATGCTCATGGTCATTTGGGGTCCTGTTTCTGTCGGTTACAGGAAAGCAAAATGGAGCCTGAGTGACATATTTAACACAGTAGGATTTGTGGAACAAACATATTGTTGTTAAATGGCAAATCTCATGTGGATGCACAAGATCACAAGTTCCAGGGAGATGGCTGACAACCTCAGCTATGTTGCTACTGTCAGTTGCCCCTGGGTGCTCCCTTTCCTCTTGGGTCTCACTGGGCAGGTATCAGGAAGGAACATGTCTGCACCTGGGCTGCTTCAGCTCAGGCAGGCAAATTAAACTTCCCATAAAACGTGGGTTTAAGGGAAGATGCCGACTGAACTGAATTGACTCCGGCACAGTCGTGTTTTCTTCTGTCAACTTATTTGCAGGGTGAGTGGCTCTGGAAGAAGGTTGAAACAGATGGTAGGATGCTGGAAGGGCTGAAGCAGTGCAGCTTTTTTCTCTGTAAATGTGAATCAGAGCTCTATCACTTCTGATACCATTTGACGCTTGCACTGATTCAGCAAGCTGGAGGGTTTTGTAGTTTGTTTGTTTTGAGCTAACTAACACTTGATATTTTTAATTTTTTTTTTTTTTGGTGAGCATTTGTGTAATTGCATTTTCTTGCAAAAGATGTATGCTGGAAAATTATTTAAACTGAGGCTGTTTATGTGCATATGTGTGTACAAACCATTGATTTCTGTGCTCTCGCAGTTGCTGGCAACCTGCTCCATGCCTCCCACTTTGAAAACTGGTGTGACTGGAGGACATTCATGAGTCACACTTTCTGATGCTATGTGTGGATTGTTCAATATTGAACTTCTGTGGTGGAGTGGTGTAACTTGCTGCTCACTGCGACAAACCTCTGTGTGTAAACACTGTTGTCAGTAAGCTGAGCATTTTCACTGTGGTATCAACAACCCTTCTCATCTTATGGCAGGCCTTTTCTGCTCTTGCAAGAGGTGGTCTCTTAGCATGACATTGTATGAAGTAGGTGGAATGTTCCTCTAGTTACATCCTTTATCTTTGTTCCTCTGCTCTTAAGACAAGTAAGTTACTTGTGTCGCTTGATGACCCTGTCCTTAAAATACGAGTTCTTAGAAGAAAGTGCTACCAATTCAACTTCAGCTGTTAGAGGCTGCTCTAAACTTATAGGGCATTTCTAGTTGAAGATATCAAAATGGATTTTAAACCAAAAATCATAGTGTATA